ACACACACACACACACACGTCTCCTTACGTAATCTATGCAGGATACTGAAGTCTGGAAAACTTTTTCCTGCATATTTCACAATTAAGCATAATATATCCGTGCATTAGAGCTAATTATCTATTAACCCGTTAGGCAGTTTGAGGCTCCTGTTTCCAGAAAATATCCAGCTAATAGCTTGGAGTGTGACATATTCAGCTTCCCTATTGCCAAAATACTTTGCACATGTATAGACAATTACACCTCATTTTTCCCCAAAATTGCTTCCTGTAATGAAGAGACGACATCATTAACCAGCTTTCTCCATTTCTGCCACAAGCAAACTGAGTAATCTTCCCAACTGAGGACTAGTCAAGTTAACTCCTAGTCGAGTTGTTAAATGATAAAAACATTAGGTCCCAATTCCACTAGCGCTAAAGAAAATGTAAACTGTCAACATCCAAACGTTTTGCACCACGTGTAATAATTAGTTAGATTGGCAAGAACGACTTTTACTCATCTGGGTAGGAATGATATTCTACATATTTGAAAATGATAGGATTGATGTAAAAGTAATCAATGAACATCTGCCCAACTTATTCACCAAGAAGCATTGCACCCAAAACAAGCATCTTTTGCGATCTTCACAGATCACAGCACATTCTGAAGCAAGTTGTAGATTTCAACCAATTGCTCGACAACTAACTACTGATCTTCCAAGCTGTTAATTAACTCTGAAAAAAATAAAATGTTTGCTTTTTGGAAATACATCCTCTTTGGGGTGGATTCTTTATTGAGGCCAATGTTAATAACAACAACAACAAGTTCAATCCGTAGAGCAGCTTTCATGTGGGGAGGACGTCCCAAGACTCTGGGTAATTAACCAAATAAATAGAATACCGCAAGGCTTGCTTTTGGAATAACCTTTTGAAATTCAATCTAACTTCTTCTGATATGCATAACGGGAGGCAGAGGGTTCATTCAGTAACAAGATTGGTCGAAAAATTATGAAGAATGAGTCGGAAGAAGAGATGAACAGACTTCAACAAAAAATAGGCAAATTGGGAGTTGTGCATTTTATTTTCCACCGCAAGGTCAACTTGAGAAATTTAAACACTCCCAAATATGCCTCAGAGAATGTGTTGATAGATAAAGCTGTAGAAATCAGCCTACATCAGCCTACACAAGTAGTCAAAATGTCATGAAAAGTGCACAGGCTGGTAAATGTCACTGTAAAAAACTGGAAGGCGCACTATAAGCATTTGACATCTCCCCACCACGCTGTTTAGCTGGCACACTGAGTAACAAAATGTTCCCACCTGCTGGATATTTACATCCAATGCCTAATGAAAGAAATGTAAGTCTAGATAAAATCTAACGATATCTTTAACTGGGGCCAGCAACAGAGCGAACAGGGGAGTACAACTGAAACCAAGTAATGAAATAGAAAGTTTGATTTTTTTCTGAAAGGAAATGTTAGTTCATGGAATTTGGTGGAAATCCAACACGATTTTCAGTCACTGTGCTGATAAATTTATGTTCAAGCCTAGAATGTTTACAGATGCGCTGACAATTCCAAAGCATGTCTCTCTTCAAAAGGATCCCAGGGAACAAGAAGAGGAAAAGTCTCTCATGTTTGGGAAACTGCATCAGCAAGTTCTGAATTTACTGACATATAAACTGAAGGCAGATGGATGGAAGTGGCTTGTTGCGTGAGCGCCACAGTGTGTCCGACAGAATGAAATAGATATTCAGTGTGAGGCTGGCAAACAGATGGGCAGACAATGGTACAGGAAAAAGTGACCCCCATTGTAAAACATTCCACTATTCTAAAAGGCATTACAGAGCCAGAAATGCCCTCAGATTTTGTGGTGCAGTTTTACAGCATCTATATTCATTCCTTTAAGCTATTCGATTTGCTACACTGGAATTAAAACATTTCTTTCTTTACACAAACGCACTGCAGCTCTCTCCCCACTGTAGTGCTGATCTGACGAAGATCAGCCATGATCTTATAGCATGGCGGAGCAGGCTTGAAGGGCTGAATAGTCTACCCCTGTTTCTATGTTTCTGTGACTGTGCATTTTGTAAGCAAATTTGCTGTTTTTCAACGTGTCAGTGAGTCCCAAACAAGAGGGCATAAATATAAGATAGTAATACATCTAATGGGGAGTTTAAGAGGAACTTCGTCATGCAGAGGGTGGCAAAAATGTGGAACTCAGTGCTGGAAGCAGTGGTTGAAGCAAAAAAGCGTCAATGTATTTCAGAGAAGGCTTGATACATACACAAGGAAGAAGAGAAGAGAACGGCTATATGTGAAGGGAATAGGAGGGGGTCAGTGCAATAGGAGGGGGTGAGGAGAAGAGGAGGGGGTGAGGGCCGGTGTGGAGTATAACCACATTCATGGGCCGAATAGCCTGTTTTCGTGCTGTTTCATTCTGTGGATCTACAGCATGTGTTATGGAGACAGAACAGTGAGTTTTTTTTTTGATTAATTTACTATACATGGTGGGTATTCGAATGCCAAATATTGATTGGGAAATCAATGGGCAAATCGAGCGGTTGTCATGATAAGTCCATCCTAAAGTAATTAAAACAGAATCGGGTAAATAAGTCCAGACACAATGTCACAGCTGGCTGGAATGAAGCACTGGCACAGCCTCTCAGCCAGAGAACAGATGTGGAGCAAAAACCTTTCAAGAAGATGGCAAAATAAATTAAAACAGTCCCAAAGGAGGAATGAGATTAGAATTAATGGAGTTTCATAAACTCTCTGGCTAAAGTGCTATTAATGCCAAGGTTTTACCCTAGATCAGCATCGAGGGTAAAACCTTTTTTAAAAAAAATGTAGCTTTTAAATACACTTTAAAATATTGCCATATGTGTAGCCATTTCCATACTCAATTTCATCAAATACTAGTATGACTCCTCTGGGTGGGGTGGGGAATGTAAGCTGAATAATCCTATGAACCACATCCGTGTCTTCACATCAATGTCAAAGTGGCAATCTCTTACCAGAATCACTGCCAACCAACTGATCTCTACTAGGGCTCCATTAAGTTCTTGTTTTAGCAGAAACACAAGAGGACATCACATTCCCCTTTGGTCTAAAAACTTGCTCTAAAGTGCTCTTCCCTACCATTCAGTGACATTCTAATAACAATATGGGAATTCTGTTAGAAAAACACCAGTTGTCCTCCCAAAGTAGCACTGATGTGTGGCTCATTCAGCCGACCTACTCAGCTGGCCTACCTACCCAATCTGCAGTTGATCAATCACCCAATAATCAGTATAGATGTGAGAGTAATCCCTGCCATAGGAAAGGCAGGAGACATGAGCCAAGAGGGTAATGCAGGTACCAAAGTTGTCAACCCTCGAAGAATCAAGGTCTCAACGTGAATGGACACAACAGAGGCACAGAATGATCATAACCCCATTTGGATTCTTGACATTAGTATGAGCTCTCTCTTATCATGGTCGCACATCAACTTCCTATTGAAAACCTTATGCCTCTTTCTGTTTGTGTGAACCCTGGCATTTTCAGTTGGGAACTTTTAAAACAACACAAGTAGAACTGACTATATCCCATCTCACCGAACTTTTTAAAAACAAAATCATTTGGTGCTCAAATTTGTTGATTGCTAAAACTTATATCGAGAGACCAATAATAAAAAACTCCCATTGCTCAACCACTCTATACAGATATAATCTTACAGAATGATATCCAACCGACCGGCAGATGTCTGTCAGTGGGTGCTGGGATGATCTCCTGGTGAAGTCCTATCGTACACTGGTTGGTAATGAGGTGCCCAATGTATGGTGAGCTACCAGGTTACAGAGCACTCCCATAGGCAGCCTCCAACCTCAAGGACACTGAGCTTCAGTCATGTTCAGGAAACAGATTTGAAACCAGAAGGCTCACACCCTGTGATTAAGTCTAGACTCTCATCATCCCGTTGGCTTCTATTGGAATTGAACCAATCCTGCGAGGCTGCTGCTGGCTTTCAGTTTTTCTCGGCACAATAAAAATTATAACAGTTTCAAAAACTGCTCACACAGATTTAACAGTCCGTTTAACTCCAACACCTCCTCAATAGTTGGCATTGTAAAATGCTCCAGATTAGTGCCAGCTAAAATGGAGAGAACACATTGGATGTGGATCAGTCTCAATTGCAAGTCCTCAAATGATCTGAACTGGCTGTTGTTGACTGACTGGGGCATAGAAAGACAGAGAGGATAAAGAGGATGGTAATGTCACAATTAGTTAATGCTGCGAAAGGTGAATAAACCCCAAAGATTGTGAATGAATGGTTTACAAAAAATTAATCTCCCTATTTTCTTTTTCCAATTTCATTGGGGTGTAGCTTCTTCACTGGCTTGGTGTGCTCACGGTAACGGTGATCGTAACAACACCTGGTGTTACAGTAACAGCGCCGATGTGAAAGGCGCTATACAAATGTTAGGATTGTGAAGGAGAAATGAAAGGATGCTGTATTTTATAAATAATATAAATGATCATTGGCTCTCCACAATGATTAAATAAGTTTAAAGAAAGAGAAAAACTACTACATACTAAGAATATGATGGACATATTGTTAAAGATTCTCAGTTAATTTAATTAATGAAAATAATCTTTGAATTTGATACAGTACCTTTCATATCAAGAGGATGTTTCAGTGAATGTAAAGTGCAGTGACTGTGCATTTTGTAGACCAAAGAGAGAAAATGATGAGTGAGCTCTCTAGTACATCTGAGAGCACTTGCTTCATTCACTTGCTACATGTCTGGAGAAGCACTAAAACTCTGCAGTAAAGTCCTTCCCAAGATCTCCCCATGAATGAGAAACTCAACTCCCACCCAATTAAGTAAAGTAAAAATCAAGAATTGCTCAAACTTCCAACAGGTTGAATGTAGCATTTGCTGACAGTGAGAAATCTTTGAATTAAAGATCAGCTGTGTTGCCATCCAAAGATTTCTGGATTCAATTCATTAATTTAATCGATGGGCTGATGCTGTCACTGACCTCTGTTTGTAGTATGGCAGCTCTCTGTTCTTTGGCAGTCAGAGATTCTTTGAGAACCTCAATGTGTTGCTTGCAGTCGGAGTTTTGATTGTTCAACGTTTCAAGCTTGGTTTGTAAGGCAAGGAGTTCGGATTCCTTCTTGGACAAATCTTGTTTCAACTGATCAATCTGAAATTAAAAAAAAAGCCTGTTTTTACTACAAACTGTGAAGACCACTGCTAAAAATTTACAGGAGATTTTCAACGCAGTGTTTCTGCACACGCATTAATGTCCTCGGGCATACACTAGTCCAAAATGGATTACTTTTCAGTAACAGAACATTTTAATAGATTGGTCACACTCAGCAATTATCTGGAGAAACTAGAAATGAAGATGTCTCAATTTATCTATAAGGCAGGTTTTAGTGCTGAAACATCACGCAAACAATACCGAGCTGAGACTTTCCTTATATTTATTAAACACAAACAATGTCTCTGATTCAAATCACAAGTCAATACTGCAACACGAACATCTCCAGTTATCGTGGAGTGGGGGATGGAGCCTCAAATGTATTTTAATGAGGCAATGAAACTTCCAATATCTTGGAAGTTCTTTTATATAAATGATATATCAGTGCTCTCGGATGTACTGGGATGAAATGCTTGGCTGCAGATGAATGCAGATGAGCAGGAAATTCCTGAGAACTACAGCTCCACGGTTTCCAGTCTGGGTAACTGCATAAATACATTGTCAGAGACAATGCACAATGTGTATGTGCTCTCCCACTAATCTCAGCACCATGTACAGGACTAGTACAGTACTCGCTGCTTATCTTAAGAGTTTGGGAGGAACAGACTTGCTTGCGTGTCAGGGAGAGGTTGAAAGGGAAGTCAAGAACGGAGGCAGAGAGTTAGTAAGAAAATAAGACAGTAAGAAAATAACCATACTGTGTGAAAGAAAAGCAACCGCACGTGAGAAGAAAATAAGCAGGGAAACTATAGAGAGGAAGAGAGCGAGCACCAAAACTACAAGAAAACCAGAGGTCAGCAAAGGATATAGGGGGATGAAGCTCAAGAGAAGTCTTGGGGAATAAACAGCACATTACACACAGACCTGTGGCTTTCTTCTTAAAAAGAAAACTCTCCACACAACCAATGATTACAAAATGACTACCAGTAATTGAACTGGTTTCACATGCATTCAACTCATTTGAACACAAGGAAATACAACAGAACGGAAAAAAAAGTGTGATGTAATGGAAAAGTAATGATGCTAAGAGCTCAGAAGCTACTGCTGTTAGATTATAAATTCATCTATTGTTCCTATTCTGCAATGATATGAATTATAAATGTAGCACTTTTCCGCTTCACGTTTTGAAGGCAGGATATTCAAATAATATCTAATAAAATAAAACGTTGTCAACGTATCCTTGATAGTATTTAAGAAAGACCTCAATAAGGTTTGTTATACCAAAGTCACTCACTGATTGTTCTTGCTTTTGACCCTAAAGGTCATACTGAGGTCTCTGAACCTGCACGCAAAGGGTTAACATAGCCGAAATACCATTTGACCTAATGTTTACTGACAGATAAATAGCATTCATAAAGTATGCTGACCCAAACCATTAACCCTACGAGGACTGCAGCAGCATTTCAACACCAGGAATTTGGGAACATTGTTGTTCAAAGAACATTGGGAATTGAGAGAAAAAAAATCTACTGTTCAGCAAAACAGCCTATTCATTGGAGCCCCACCAGACATAACCACAGAGTGAACGAAGGCACGTCCACACTGCACAGCTCAATGCCAACCCGGCCAGTGTGGACATTTGTGTGGACCGCTTGGAGGAAGGAGCACACCTAGTGGGACTGTATCCCCAAACCATTCTCACACCTCTTGAGCAGTCTGCTCCACAGAGAGATATAAACACAGACTTGGGGTGGGACATCTGTCCTCCATTGTGGATGGCAGTAACACAGAGATATACCATTGAGAACATGTGGTGGAATTCCAAGGCACAAGCTCAGCTCAGCACCTTTCCATGACCCATCACGTGCTCAAATAACTCCGCTTCAACAGATAGTGTTTGAACTTTAACCTACAACAGACAGAGTTGCAGGCAGTAACGCTGCCAGGGAGGTCCATACAACCCCTTTGTCAACAGTCTAAACACAGGGAACCACAACTATTAAATCATGGCTTCCTCTTGTGCTGTACTTCTCGACGCTTCCGCCAGGGATGACTTTGAGTCAAGGGTAGGAAAGGCTCTTGGAGCCTTTGATGGTTTCAGCTGTTGCCTTGCACTGTTCACTACACTGGGCTATTTATTGCTGAAACAGATTCTACCTGATGCACTAACAGGGATTATAGCACCCACAGCCTGAAGGTAATGAAAGGGGACCTTTGTTCTGCAAATATTGGTCATCAGTTTCCTATTTTTCTTATCATGCAATTTGGTCAATGAAATGTTGGTCTTATTTATCAGGAAGAGATGATCTTAATGATGACAGAAAAATAAATACCGTTTCCAACCTCAAAAGGTCACTTGTTGAATGTAAGCGCGGGGTGGGTGGGTTGGGGTGGAAAGACAATCTATAAGTTACTTAAAAACAAGTATATGGATGGGTGATGAGTTGCTGCTGAAAGACCTCTGCAACATGCAACTGTGGTAACAAGGAGCAAGATAGGTCCATTACATTGATAGTCCTTTGTTATAAGCTATTGAATAGACAATGACAAGCACATTAAACACATCTCTGCTTTGTTAAACCCCATTTTAAAGCTGAGGAATTTAAAGTCTTTCTCTCAAATGACTAGACACAAATACTATGTTGATAAAATCAATGCTGGGTTGTGGTACATGGTAGATCAGCGGTTAAGGTGCTCCATGAAAATATTGCCTCCAGCTGTTCATTTTTGTAGTGTCTCTGTATCCTGCGGTGTTATTAACAGTTCTAAATTAATGGTTCGTCAACACTGGCTAAAATCCAGCCACACAGTCATTGAACAAGTCAAAGGGTGAAACCAGACAGGGCCCACATCATTGATACAGTCCTGTCCATTTCCAACACCATTTTCATAATAAAAAGTTGAGGGTGGGGAGGGGGGAATGTGCTACTGGACAGCACTATAAAATGTCATTCTATTCCTCAATATTCCACCCACAAAATACACAGTCAATTCACTTTACAGTATATTCTGTGAAGCGCTTTTGAGACTTCTTGAAGACGTGATAAGGCGCTGTATCAAATGCCAGGATTATTATTATTATAAAAAAAGGACAGTCTCGCTCCTCTTTGGTGTCAACGCTTTTACATTCTTAGTCAGATGGTGTTTTGAAGCGAGCCAGATGTTTTTTTCTATGTGCCTTTTAGATGTCAGAGTCTCCACCCTCAATCACTCTATAAGCTAACTCGCGTTATACCTGCCTTATAACAGGGTCCTACTGTATTTTTCATGATAAATTTGAAAGACAAGCACCTGGAGCAGGTTGAAATTTCACGAAACTAGTTACAACACACGGGTGATAACATATGCAAAGCTGCCAACAATCGAGCACTTATTCCTCAACTAGGTTTTGCCCACTGCACATTCCACCTCTATCGTTCTCGCCGTTAGCTATCTCATCAGTGGGTGCTAATGATGCTTTAAATAACGATTTTGAAAAGGAATCAATAGTAATAAAACCACATTATCTCAGTACAATAACGTAGCCCTAATCCTCTTCTCATATCAGAAGCTCTGTGCTGCAGCACTTTGTGAGGACGTTTCTTCAGGAGTGGAAAAGTTGACATTAACCCTCCGAAGCCCAGCAGGTCCCAAGGACACTGAAACTTCTTGACCCCCAGTGTCCTATTTTTAAGGAGACTGAGATATCCTTGATTTGATGAAAACTGGCTCTAATAAACCCAAACATGTAAGATATTAGACCCAATCAGGCCAACAACCTGGCACATTGACAGCACCAAGCACTATGTGGAATGCGATCCAGACTATCATCTTGACCACATCCCACTTACAAGTAAGGAGTAAAATGCATTTCCAAGCACTAACACAGCAGTAGGAGTCCCTCGTTGAGTGAAATGCGTGGAGCTTGCTAAAGCAAATATCAATTTAAGAAGGAATACCCTTGATACCAGAAATATTCCTGAGCGCCAATGTTATCCAGTGAGCGGTCGACAGCAGCTCCCCAAAATAAACACATGTGACACAGGACTACTTCCCAAAGCATTGAAACAAATTGGTGTTAATTTGTTCAAATATTTTATCAACGTACGGCGATCGGCAGATTAAATAACAACAAATACAGGAGCTCTCCTCGGGGCAGCTGTCACAGTTACTTGCACAAATCTTAACACTTTATCCAAAAGGAAAATGTCACCTTGTTTTTCATGAACTTTGAGTGACTCTTGTAAACTTCCATCTGTTTAATCTCTTCTTCCCGATCTTCTGAAGTCAAGGCTCCATTTGTCTTCAACATTTGAATTTCATCTTCCAAATCCCTGATATTCCTCTCAAGTGAAGCTATTTTGGTGTCCTATTGATGCAAGGAAATAAACAGCAAATAGTGTTTTGAGTCACGGTTAGCAGAGTATAATAGTCATAGGAAGTACAATAATCAACACCTACTGAAGGAGACCAAGCCAATGAAAGTCTGGTTTCATATTAATAAAGCAACACAACATTTGTCTCGCATCTTCATGACGTGGGTGGCTCTCCCATCGCAGAGAAGGTCTTTGGTCGGGGTCCTCCACAGTCAGCACTCTCACTGGTCAGGCAGCAGGAAGAGTGACTTACTTACCTGTGGCAAAGCAAACGATGACCATTTGCACTCTCTCTCCTCAGGCTCACCCTACACTGGGCAAGCAACACCTGACCAAACAAGTCCTGCACGTTTCAAGACTCAACCTCTTAATCTTCTGCTGGAGAGTCAGATCCTTTGCTGCTTTTACAAGAGCCAGCAATGGGAGAAGGCGACTTGGCATAGCTTTGCTTCACTTGCTTTTTGTGATTCCCAGCTTCAGTTGGAATAGTGAGATACCAAACCACTAAAACCTCCTGTATTCTGAAAACGAGACACAAATTTCACTTCAGTTACGAGCTGCACTGTTATGGACGTAAATAACTAGAGGGATAGGATATCAAATGGTCTTCAAATATATCAAGTCTGTAAAATATTGATTCTTTATGATTAATATCTGTAGAAAAATAAAATCCACATATTAAAGGAAGACAGTAACTAAACTAACAGGCCCCAGAAGAATAAATTTCAAAAGTTCAAACTCAAATCTACCGCTAAAACCGTGTACTTTACTCCTCGAAACCTACGTAGCACCAGTGCTATCTGGTAAGCCAGCACTTTTTAGCAAATCTTCACTGCAAAAGCCTGTAAATGAGTTAAGTGGTAATCTAATATGGTTTTAAAATGTCAAAAAGTGTTTATTATCAAAGAGAACGTACTCAACCCATGCACTGAAAACAGGGGTTGAATTTTGAACAAGGACAGATCAGGCAACTTTCCTTTGACTCCTAAAACTGGTTGCGAGGAGAGAGATCTAACACAATGTGCTAAACCCATGTTGGTATTGGAGCCCCTGTTGGGACATCAAGAAGTGGTCACATGAACACCCCCATCAGTCCAGGCAAGTCTGCGCAAATCCAACATCTTGATACCAATAGGTACCAAGTCACGATACTCATGGCGTCGTTGTGAATGAAGAAGAATTCAATAAAGGAACATGTATTTGGTCGGCCGACCAAAACGGTTGGCCACCACTGATCTAGATAAACATCTTAAAAGGGGTAAGCTACAAGGGTTTAGGGGAAATAATAAAATAATAATAATCCTTACATTTGATTATAGCGCCTTCTAGATGTCTCAAAGTGCTTCAAGGCAGGGAAAAGGGACTGCAGGGATTGCTTATCAAGTGAGCGTCTTCTGTGCTGCAATTATTTTAAGGTTCTCTGGACTCCAGTCCCAAAAAAATATTTTCAGCAAACTTTTAACCTTTTCTTTAAAAAAATGCGGAGTTTAAACTTTTCTAGTCATTGAAGTAAGTGGCCTTGAGAATGTTACTGATATAGAGAACCAGTTACCCTCCTGGCTCTTTCATAACTTTAACAAAAAAATAGGTTTGGGGCTAGATAATGGAATCCTGTGCATGCACAAAGCTCTCGTCAGCCCCGGGCTACAGCGGTTTTGGAACAGAAATCTGATTTCCCGCTCCAAATCGTTTTACTATTGGAATTGATGTCACATCAAATAAGACTCATCGATTTGAAAAAATAGCAGTTAAGATCTTTTAAGAGTTGCTTAAATTTGCTGCATTTTAAGATTGCCGTATCTTGATTCATCAGCTTGTCTTTCTCCAGATATATGTCAGAGTCTAAAGGTCACATGCCAATTCATATATTAGACTCAACAGTATTTATGTAGTTCAGCGCTGCCTGTCCTGCACTATCATCACTTACTAAGGAGTCAAGGGTTTAACCTGTCACCAACACAATATCATTCAATGCTTTAGTAGAATGAGCTAAAATGATGTGATTCGCCAAACAAAAATCAAGTGATTTTGCAAGATATTAATTAGCTCCACAAATCTATGCAGTTAGGAGAATAAATTAGGTTAATTTTATCATGAAATATCTTAGTCAGATACATTGTTCGCACTTCCCAACGTCAATGTTTGCTGGATGTTAGGGGGGGGAACAAGTTTTTAGTGTTCTCGTGGTGAAAAAACCTCACCAGTAGTAATTAACATTTACGCTTACTCCTGTTCATTCTCTTTATCAACTTCTTTTCTTCTCTAATTACCCTCTTATTAAATATTGCAATATTAAAATAATTGGTTGGACATTGTTTTGCATTTGTTACTATTATGTCCCTTTCTAGTTCTCTCGTGGCTCTCTTAATCTGATTCTTAAAAAAAAAAACTTTATCTGTAAAGTCTTATGTTGAGCCTAATGGCCACTCTATCTTTTGACCCCATGAGCTTTATAAATCTTTCACTTCAGGATTTTGTACAAAAATGGTTCGCGCAGGGCTGAACATTGTCTTCTGAGAACGAAGATCAGTGCTGGATCCAGATATTTTAAAGTGGTGAGAGGTATAGATGATGTCGATTATAAACAGAAGCTTTATTTTACTTAGAAAAACAACAATGGAACCGGAGGCCATAGGTTTAAAACTAAGAAAGACTCTTGGAATACAGGAACAGATTCCGATCACAAGGAGTTGGAACTGAGTAGATTAACTCCTTCAAGAAAAGAACTGATCGGGTATTCTGTTTCCAAACAGATTGAACGAATATAGGGATAAACGCAGATTGAAATGAAAGAGCAACTACAACAACAACAACTTGCACTTGTATAGCACTCTCCACACAGGGCAGTGTCTCAGAGCGCTTAACAGTGGCGGAGCTTGACTCCGAGCCGGGGTGGGGGGCTGGGGAGGGGGGTCGAAGAGGAAGGTTTTCAGAAGCATTCCGCGTCCAGAATCATCTCTGTGGTTCTGGGGTTTAGGAAATAAATACTTCCTGGTGACTGTTCTAAAATGACCCTTTTTGCAACCCTGAACCTACGCCTCTTGCTCTTCCTGCCGCCATAGCATTTCTGAAAGCAATCATACCAAACAGCCCAAACCCTACTCACCAGTTGGAAGAATTCATAGGCAATTTGGTTTTAAGGCAAAGAAAAGATGATGCTGTATTGTACCGGGAAGGGGAGGGGGGGTAAACGGTGACGGGAGATGCGGTACTCGAGATCAGTAATAAATGGTGTGTTGAAGGAAAACAAGGAGGGAAACAGTTCAATAAAACATTACATGAAATTCCCTTTTTGGAGTTTTAAATATACATGGCTGCGTAAAATCAACCAGAGAAATAAGAGACATTGGATGGAGCTCAACCCAGCTGAGGAAAGTCTGTAGGCAATTCTTTCATGAAAACTGATAGGCCTCCATAAGGCTCTGTTGCCATGGTGGCTAGCTCAAGATAGGCTCAACAATATTGATAGCATATGCTCGAGATCACGACCACACATCAGTTATTTAACCCTTTTGTTCCGAATTTATAGATTTACTATTCAAAATAACCTGCATTTGAAGGTTGGAGAATCAGGTTTTGTCGACTGATTTATGCTGTGTTTATACTGCTGGAATATAGCTTCCACCGCTGGAGCAGGGATGGATTTAAGTGTTGCACATAGTTTAAACAGGGAATAAGTTAAGCAGCCTGACACTGGATTTAGTTGCAACTGAAATAATATTAATATAGTTATAAGATTACTCTGAAAGGTACTGACGTGCACTGATTCTGTGCACTTATTTGGGCAAAAGAATGGTCATTGCAGAACGTGGGAATTTTAAATATTAAACCCTTGGGAGGATTACAGATAGTTTAAGCCTCTTATCACCAGGCAATAAGGCTTTCCTGGAAATCACACCTGGTCACAATTACCCTATCTGGCAGGTCCAACTTAACCTGGTGAACTATGTTATACTGTAGTTTGGTTCAAATATATTTCAAATAGTTGTTTCTATAGCTGCATTTTCTCATGGGATTCCCTTTAACAACTTTCACTTACTTTGTGCCCTTCACGTAGGAGAGTGCGTCGGAGTGCTTCATAATGATGGGGTCAGACACCAAGCAGGCAGGGGTGGAAGATTGAGGCGACGATAGAATTTCCTTTAAAGGCTAATGGTGCAGATTAAAATGAACAAGCGCTCTGCAGGCCATAAGCATCTGTGTGCTACTGGAGTTAGGAAGTGAGTGGGTGGAGAAGGTCTGAGAAGTATGGGCTTCTGGTATGGGGGAGCCCTGCATTCAATGATTCAGACGCAGCAATGAATAAATATTTGCACGATTCTCCCCCGGGTTATAAGAACGTAAGGATTTGCTAGGCGAAAGAAGATCAAGGTCCATCTTAGTTCGCCTTCTACCATACTGGCCAAAAAACAAACAATTGTTCCAAAAGCAATATCTTTTCCCAGGAGATGGAGTGGTGGGAACCATCAGAGCTGTGGAGAAGCAGACTGGATGGGCCAAAAAGCTTTTTGACTCATTATGTTCTTGTTGCTGCTGGTAATAAAAACCCGTCCTTTTCTTTTCTTCTCAGATTCGTTTCACTGCCAAAAGCAACGGTGCATAGCTTAAATAATATCAGAAACATTCTGTTAAAAAAATCCACGAAGGGGAAATCAAATAACTGTTATCTTAAAGGATAACAAATGAAACTTGTGCCTTGTAGCAGACTCTACATGACTAGAGAGCATCTTCAATTAAGTCAGTTAAATCCCAAAGCTTCACGGAGATGGTTCGAGGCATCTGGCCTAGTGGAGGGATAAGCAGTTACTTAAAAGGAGAAAAGGAAGTTATGTAATAATGTATAGAAACCAATGTTCAATTGCTCTGGAAATTAAAACAACTGTAATTCAACCTTTACCTGAAAGATTAACAAGCATATTTCAACTTTAACATCTTGGTATATCAGACAACGTCAAACAGCAGACAACATCAAAGCATCCAGAGCTGACAAGCACCAAGACATTTCAGATTTGTCAAGACAAATGCAAATACAAACTCAACCACATCACCACAATGTTAAGGAAGAGTAGGGAGATCTTATTGAAACATATAAGATTCTTAAAGGGCTGATAAAGTAAAGTAGTCACTGAGGGTCTGTTTCCCCGGTGGGAGAATCTGTAACCAGGGGTCACAGTCTTAAAATTAAGGGTCAGCCTTTTAGAACAGAGTTGAGGAAACATTTCTTCACTCAGAGGGTAGTGAATTTATGGAATTCACTACCCCAGAAGGCTGTAGATGTCAGTCCTTGAACATCTTCAAGGCTGAGACTGAGAGATTTTTAAAAAAACAGAGGCATTAGGGGATATGGGGAGAGGGCGGGTAATTAGAGTTAGGTCTGAAGATCAGCCATGATCTTATCGAATGGTGGGGCACAGACTCGAGAGGCCGAATGGCCTACTCCTGCTCCTAATTCTTATGTTTTTATGTTCTAAGATTGTAATTATGTTATAATTCCTCCCAATGTGAGGAAACTGGCCATGTAGCCCAGAAAGTAAGGATCTAAAAATTTTCCTGACTATTATTTCACAACAACATTTATTGGATCTATTGAAACCCAACATTGAACTGATGGGCCAATTTTAAGATGTATTTATCATATAAATTTACAGAGTGGGAAAAAATCTCTATATCACTTTTAATGGGAAATTCTAACACTAACCTGGTTATTTATCCTACCAGGATAGAAAGCAGAGATAATGGCTTTAACAATTATGGTTGCACTGAGGGCACACCAAAATATTATCGTTCAAGCCATGTGGCACAGAATTATTTTCTGTCAGGAAAGAAAAATATTGTCTTCGGGGGTTTTCAATTTTTTTCCTAAAATTTAGCGGATTAAGCAGATCGATCTAGCGCCTTGGGACATCCTCCCGACGTGAAAGGCGCCTATACAAATGTCATTTTATTGCTGTTGTTACAACTGGAGGAGTGGAACAAACTTGCAAAAACGTGAAATCGGAAAGATGGGTGTTATCATCAGAGAATTAACTGTGTCCTTGGTCTGCACAAATCCTGGCCCTGAATACAGATTGGGAAACAACACCCTCACTCACTTCCTGCTAAGCTTTAGATGTGCAGCATTTTCGTTCAGCTATAGAAGCAAACCGATCCAATTTAAAGGCAGGCTTTGATGTGTGCAGCGCAACAGCTACTCCGCACTGATGTAATTATTCCAAGTTCACACACAGCAGCAATGACACTTGGGGCTCATTAGTTTTTTCAATGTCAAACCGCTTTAGTTCGCTGAAGGACCTTAAATGGCCTTACCTTCATTTCAATGACAGTCTGAAGAGCCTTGGTCTTGGCGGTCTCGGGCTGCAGTGGAGCTCTCCTGTGCAGTTCCTGTGGAGGCACCCGGTAAAAGTAAGCCTGGTGACTACTCATGGTTCCATTCCGCACAAGGCCAGACAGACAATACACTCTACAGAAGTCAAGCAATTACTTCATAAAAAGGTTCAGATAAATAGACCTGCACGCTGCAAGTCCTTCCCCTGATAATCTCCCTGGAACACTGCAATTTCTATCTTATATTACAGTCATCACGGCCAACACATGCGCCATGTCAGCTTCCATCAATAATTAATGTCAACTGTGATAGAGACAGCAAGCAAATGTTCAGCACATTTAATTTAACAGTGCAACTTCCACAGTCATCAAATCCTGCCCGTCCCTCTCTATCGCAGATAGTCTAATCAACTCAGCTTACCATTAAACATGGCAAAGCCAATACTTAATTATATAGAAATAATAGAAAGGATTGTGATAAATTGAGTGGTTTTGTGGGAAGAAATATAAAAGGGTGAGTATTTACACTACATGTGGGAGTGTTTACACTACCTTGGGCTTTCTTGAACAGGAAGAATTAAACAGCTTTGAAAGAAGCCACAGATAGAAAAGAAAGAAAAAAAATGCAAATGAGTGAAAACAAATGTCCCCGATAATCAAGTAACATTTGACTAGAAGTGAAACGACACACTTAACAGGCAAAGATCCAGACCGTGTAAAAAGAAACCAAGAAAAAATAAATATCAAACAAACATATTTATAAATTCTGACAAACCTTTGACTACAATATACATCAATACTGTCCGGCTATTCCAAGCCGTGTAACAGCTGGACACTTATCAGAAACAAATCTAGTCTGGCATTATTTGTTAAATGAAAATAGGTCCCAGATCAAAAGATAGTGCACCTTTCTCTTTTTCAGTTAGAAATAATCTATCAACACTGCTCCGTAAAAGCCTCTCTGCCCTCTTACAGTTTTTTTTAAAATAAGGACATAAATTTACAGTGCAATTTTACAGTCAGTCCAGTCAAAGCTCCTCTTTAATCTGCAATCAATTTGATATGATCCAAAAGGACAAGAAATATGCAGGATTTTATCCAAACAGATGGGCCTACACTCACTCTATCCTCTCACTTCTCCGGCAGAGATATCTTGCTAACATTTGGCAGAGCCATTAACTGTGTTGAAACACCCCTTCCCCACCTCCCCATCATTTGTTCAACAAACGTCAAAACTTCACAAACCCAATAAAATATACTAAAGCACAGAAATATTTTAAGAGTTCCACATGGCATTTATCTCCCTGTGAAAAAATTCCTCCTAATCTGCAGTATGGACCCACCAGTTCAGATTTTATAACTGAATTCAAGACACCCACCCACCCCTCCCGACCACCAGAAATAAGCTTTCTCCGTCCGCTCTATCTAAGCCTCCTGTCAATCCACAACTGTTTGTGGGACACTCGCTGCTGTGCGTAATTGGCTGCCGCGTTTCGCCCACAAAATGCAGTCAACCTATTCTGCAGCAAATTCTGTGAAGCGCTTTGAGGCGTCTCAATGACGTGATAAGGTGCTATATCAAATGCAAGGATTATTAATATTATATTATTAACACGTCTTCGAGACGTCTCAAAGCGCTTCACAGAATATAGTGTAAAGTGAATTGACTGCATATCTTGTGGGCGACACGTCACACACTTGTTATTCCTGGCTGTTACATGGATTGATGCCACTCACAAGATTCTGAAGCAGAGCCAGTCAGCACTGGCCCCAACCTTTAAACGCAGGAGCACACAAAAAAAGATTAAACATTCTGCACTACATTTCATTTCCTTAATGGGTTTTTGTCGTGGTCTTAGAACGTTTGATTGTAACGTCAGGGCCATCATTTTTAAAGCTGTTTTATGTGTACAAAGCTAATATTCTAATAAATCTGACCAAAGACTGTAATGGTTTACTGTATGCAATTATTCGTATAGGCATCCGACATAGGAGCCTGTGTTCTGTCTGCATTTTTTCAAGTGGTTATCTATCTTAACTTGTATTTCAAAGTGCCCTGAACCGTAAATTAAACCGCTACGAGCAAAAGTAATCTATTTCAGACAATAGCTGTAATACAAACAGATTGCCTGCCCTATTTACTGTCCATTGGGTCATCTAATAAACTATAGTCCTCAGTGCCATCAAACAGCATCTGAATTGGCCAGGTGTGACTTTTCTTTAACTGTGGAAGTTATTATCTGATTCACAATATAATACTGTCCACAGACTCTTCGAAAAGAGAGTCAGTACTTGACAATTCTCCTCCCAGGATAATAATAATCCTTAATAATAAACCTTGCATTTGATATAGCGCCTTATCTTTGAGACATCTCAAAGCGCTTCACAGAGTGTAGCGTAAAGTGAATTGACTGCATATTTTGTGGGCGAAACGCGGCAGCCAATCTCGCACAGCAGCGTCCCACAAACAGCCTTGGATTGAGTGACCAAATTTTATTTATTGTAACACTGGATATAATTCACCCATTCCTGGGGGAATGTATGGGTTTCCAGGCTCCTAATGACAAGGTTCCAGAGCTCACAGACCAAGTGCTAGGATGTTGGACAGCATAATGTTTAGTCTATTCTCCGGTAAAACTCTAAAAAGTAGTCTCTTAATATATTTATCTCCTGCTAGTTTCTCAACTTCAAATCCCATGGGTCCCTTAGGGCTTAACTTCCTCTCCACAACTCTAACGCTGATGATATTGGAAGAATTCTTAGCATTGGGTTTTGCATCCACTACTGCGTCCCTCTCCAATTCTTTCTTGGCTGCTCTAAAGCAGTTTGAAAACACTGCTTCTGTATACCCTGGCAGTTATCCCAAAGGTTCCTCACTCACCGTTCATTTCTTTCCGGTCAAACACGTACTATCGTAAAATATAAAATATATAGTCAATTCGTTTTACAGAGTATCCTGTGATGCACTTTGAGACGTCTCGAAGACGTGATAAGGTGCTGTGTCATATGCAAGGATTATTATTATTATCTTGTCCTTCGTCACAAGGCAGGATTGTCCGTGTCACAGAAATCATCAATTAGCTCCTTATTTATCACCAGGAGACAAATATAATCAATGTAAAATGACAAAAGGATTACAAGAATACCGGTTCTCCTCATGCTGATGTTTATACACATCAGTGTCTGCGGCAGAAGTGGGTGTAAAGGCTGTGAGATATCAGCAAAATCCCCGAGTAAGAAGTTGAGAGGCTGTTAACTTGCTACGGGTTCACACACACACACACACACACACATACACACACAGCGAATAAGTCCCTACCAACCTTGCATACGACCCTCACAATTACACTTTTTGCCACAGCGTTAAGGTTAAATGTTTACATCCTTACTTTTATTCAGTGTCGGAACGGAGGTAGAGAAAGCGCAGTCAGAAACATAAATAAGGGCACAGAGAACGAAAGTGAAAGATACATCCAATATTTTACTTACTGGGATGTATAGAATGTGACCTAATATGTTATAAGCGACTGATGAAATAAAGGAGGGAAGGGGGGAGATCCCTTATTGATATTCTGCGTGAGAATTGTCCTGGGTTTCGGAGTAATCAGTTTGGGAAGAATTGCAGATGTAAATTAGGTTAAATTAGGTGTGGGTCTTCTGCCACTCTACCTCCACTCTATCCCGCAGTCCCTCCGCCTCGCCCCCTCCTCTTCGACCATGCTTTCGATCTCCCTGCTTCCCCCCACCCGCCCTCCCACAGTCCCCCACCCCCACCACCCCCTCCCCGACCCCCAGCTCGTGTCCGAAACTCTGTCTGTCCAGCGCCTTGGGACATCCTCCCCACATGAAAGGCTCTTTACACATGGAATTTTGTTGTTGTTGTTAAAAACAATTACAGTTACGAAGTCTGAAATGTTCAAATTCGTAACCAAATCTTAAATCAGATGTCACGTTTTCGGAACTCCAAATCTCTTTACAAAGTGAACTCCGACTGTGTGACTGCCAGATTTGCTGCTACTTGTTAAATGTGTGGTCAATTTCAGGCCATATCCCTTTTTAACATTTGAATAGGACTACTGTACAAATAGTACTTGGCCCATTTATTCGCTTGTACAGAAATATAGCAGGATCGAGTAACGCCAGTTATTCACAGTATTGTTCCCTGGGAGGTCAATGTACATTTCACTATGTGACGAATAGATGAAAACATCAAATTCCCAATGGTCAGTGCAAACTCTCAAAGTTATTCTCAGCAATCTGCACTTTCCCCAGTTACTACAAACCCATTTTGTTCCTTCAAGCATTACAAATTATTTGCAACAGCAGGCAGACCCTGACCATAAATATTATATCACTATCAGTGGAATATTGATTTAATGTGGGAACTTCACCACTTTCTGCTGGAAAAAGCTTCAGGCAATAACGGTCCCATTACTTTTTAAATACCATTCCTTGAAGTATTTATAAGCACTTACCGAAGCAAGTGTTTTTATAGTCTTAAGAAAAAACCCTATTCTGTTAGCTCCAAGCAGCTTATTTAAAAGATGGTATACATCATTAAGGAAATTAAATGCAATTAACTATGTATAAATGCTGCTGTGATTCAGGATACAGAGCGTACGTAAAGTAAACACGAACGTGTGTGTTTTGGTAGTCAAGCAGAGAAGAAACATTTTCTCTCCTGCCTGCTAACATCAGGTAGTTTTGAAATTGCTGAATCCTGTTGTAGACAACACTCCGACAACGTACCTACAAGCCCCCACTGAGTTAAACAATGCTAATCACAGGACTTTTCCATCTCCAGCTGTTCTTTTAGCCCTACTTCAGTTTGTAAAATACATTACTGGGAGGGAAAACGAGAATGCAAGGGAACCAGCCACATTCAACATGTCGCTCCAAGCCATTTGAGCACGTGCGAGTAGGAGGATCAATGCCAGCGAGACAGACACAATGAACATACACCGCACAGCATTCCATTTGTCCAACCTACGCTCCGCAGGTACAGGGCAAAGCCTTTGTTTACCCGTTGACCCAACTGCACCCTTTGCAAGAATACC